TTTTTCTGTTACATAATCTTATGTGTTTAATAATAATACATTAATTTATTATTATTATTTAGTATTCGCGTCTCCGACCATGTAGAGAAAAAACGCTATTTCTTTTATATTATTATAGAAATTATTTATCAAAATATTATTTATCGGGTCTAAGGAAAAAAACAACATTTAATATTAATAATAAAAAAGAAGAAGATTATAAAATCCAAGAATCGTTGTAAAAGAAATAAAAAAACGCGTTTGTATATGCTCGCGATTAACTTGAATGATAACAAAGTTCGCGGAAAGATAACGGAATCATCGATATTTAAATTTAACCGATTTTTCCCCACTTATCTAGGCCAGTGTTAACCTACTCATTACACTTATTCATAAACTTCAACGTTAGATATTTTACGATCTGGCAACAGTTGAGAAGACGGAATATTAACATCAAACCTAACAGAAAGATCTTTCATCATTTCCAATCTTACCTGATAATCTTTCGATTATCTTCTATCTTCTACCTTTATACTTTTTCTTTTTTTTTTTTTTTTTTTTTTTTTAAATAATTCTTTTTTATTTTTTAAATAAAATTTTTTCATCGCGTTCTTCGATCAAAACGTTACGTAGGCGTAAGAATATAATTGGCTAATCAGCACAAAGTGGCTTTTATGTTTCTAAATAGGGTCTATATTTATTATATTACATCATCATCGTGAACATAACGGAGGACCAACAAGAATAAAAAGGTTTTATAACTTTATAAACACAGGGCTTCTCAAACTTTTCCACACGGCAACTTACCCCTTTTTACCCCCTGTACAAATATTTTCGTTAACCTTGACCATAGACTTTACGCTATCTTTTCATTCCCTTTCGTAAACTCCAGTCACGTACGTATCATCGTAAGTATAGTTGTTAACAAACTGGCCTTGAATTGATCTTCGTTCGTTCGTTCGTTCAGTTCGAGAGAAATTTTTTATAATTTTATTTGAAAATTTGTCAGACTCCCACGTGTTTATTTTACCGCGTCAAAGAGTAGTTAGTTGCATTATTAATTGTGAACCACTGTTTCATACGACACTTCCACAAAGTAATTCCTTTCTCTCTCTTTCTTGTTTGTATTATGAAAATTTCAATATTTACACGATATCTCATTCATTGTTTAGATTACGTGCGAACGTTAACGATACTTCGAATAGATGTGTGTTGTTGGGTGAATTGGTAGAGATGATTACACTTTTATTATACGCGTGTATTCTCTACACTCACGCACACATTTCTAATTTATAATCATTTCTATAAGTTATTTTTTTATTTTTTTTTTAGAATCTTCCTTATACGATAAACGATATTAAAATAAACAGATAATACGTATACACATTAACTTCGATAAAAGTGCCTTGGACATAATACGAAAGTTTCGTCTATTATTATAATCCTTTATATATATCTCGTTTGATAAAAATTAATTATTAAATATAAACTTCATTCCATTTTTATATACAATTTTTACAATAAATAAACTTTTAATATTCGTTTAAATAAAAGTGAATCGTGTTTCTACGTTAAACTCGAAACAATCAACAACAACTCCACCAATGAAAAAAATTGCTTGCAACTTACATCGTTTGATGATTAAAAGTAGATAATTAAAAAAAAAAAATTGTTAAAAAAAAGAGGTTAGATATAAATATCATCACACAACACATATAAACGCGTATACGTATATACTTATACGTATTTTATAGAGTCTCTCTAATGTATTTCTTATAAATAATTAAAAGTATTAATCCGATTAAAAAGTATCGCGTAACATTTAATCGTCAGCAACACTCGCGACATCTAAAACGATCGTTTTAAATTACTTTTTCTATATATGTATGCAAATATTTATCTGTAGATACTAAGAAGTAAAAAATGATTACGATGGTAATAATATAAGTCTAATGTCTTAACTTGCTTCGTTGCACCTTTCATGACGTGTCTATCATTAAATATGGTCGCTGGAAGAATAATGGGCGTCAGTCATTGGTGAACGTTCGAAGTAGTCGCATGAATGTTTATTGTCGTTTTTAGTTACCACTTTTATCAGTTATTGTTGTTGCCGTTGGTTTTCCTTACGTCGACTTTTGATTGGTTAATACTTTCTCCTTTTTTTCCAATCTACCAATCGCGCGATTGACTGGTGATTTAAACAAATTAAAAAATAGTGACAATAACAAAATGGTGCCAACTTTAGATATATATATATATATATAAAAAAAACAAAAAAAGAAAAATTAATAGGGAAG